AGAAGGGAGTTGTTACCCAATGAAAATGAAGAACCACTTCTAGATACGAGAGGGCTTTTTATTAAGTGGATGGTCAGCTTCTGAAATCCTTTGGTTCCACTTAGGAAAACTAAAGGAACTTAATGCAAGATACTGGTTATATAGTTATTGAATGATGAAAATGAAAAGAACAGCTAAGCGGCCCAAAGATTAAACACTTCAAGAAGCTGCTACCATTCTAGGGCTCAGGGAAGACAAGGGGAAGATGGCGTCACAAGGGGATGATGGCATCACAAGAGACGAGAAGGACTAAAGGAGGGTCAGCAGGGTAGGAGCTGGGACCACTGAGGGGTCTCTGAAGCTGGTGAGCAGACCTCTGAAGTGGGAGTACATCACAGGCCGGTTCTGGAGCTGCAGAGCAGCAGCCCCACACTGCTCATGCTCCTACAGGGAAAAAGAGGCTCCCTCCTCCCCAGCTCTATTCTGCTTCCTAGCAGAGATTCAGCCCTTAAAGGAAGCCAGCTGGCAGGAGAATCTGTGAAGTGTTATTCACAGTGTTCTGACCCCACCGTCACAGAGCGGAATGGTTGGCTCAGGACTGACAGAGATTGGTAAATAATTGGAGATGTCTTATTTCTCTAGGGTCGCCCTCATTTTCTTGAGCAATGAGAAAAAGAAATCGAGGAATACAGCAAGGCAGAGAGAAGAACTAGCATCAAAGCAACCTGTAGCTTCTCATCTTGTTCTGGACCAAGTGGGACCTGTGGCTAGAGCTGTTCCCTCATTACCACACTCAGCGCATGTTCTCGGGGGGAGGGGACCCTATCGGCTGGAGCTCAGGATGGGCCAAGGCAGTGCCAACCCGGGACAGGCAGAGAGAGTGCTTCCTAGCGTGAAGTCTGTGGATACTGCCTTAAAGAAGGCATCCGGTAGTCTGATTTGCCAGGCATGGTGGTGCACACCTGCAATCCCAGCACTCTGGGAGGCTGAGGCAGGAGACCACAAGTTAAAGCCCAGACTGAGCAAGTTAGGGACTTAAAAAGAAAGAGTTGGGGTTGTAGCTCAGTGTGTGTGTGGGGAGCCCGAAGTTCCATCTTCAGCCCCTTCCCTCTGCAAAACAAACAAACAAACAAACAAACCCCCCAAACACCACAAAAGCCTGAAGTCTTAAATGCCATCTGAGCTGTTGTTAAGGAAGAGGAAATAAACTTGACATTGCAGATGGGAAGCAATTCTTGGAGGAAAATTAAAAACCAGTTCATTCATATCTGTGTGTTACCAAGTTCGGAATGTTCCATAAATCGAAGCAATAGGTTGAAACCTTACTGCATACCGTCTCTAGGACAAAGGACAGCCTGATACAGAAAAAGAGTATTTTCTAAGAATTCCAAATGTCACCTTTATTTTTCTGCTTTCTCCATGGTGTGGTCCAGTAAGTACACATGGTTTAGGGTTTGTAGAAACTGATCAGTGTCCACTGAAATTCCTGTCAGGCAGTGATCACTGAAGTTGATAACTACAACCTGTTACAAATCAAGTTCCCTCAATTACTATCACAGTCAGGTCCTTTTCTTCACTTTAGACTTTAAATCTATGAAACAAGGGAAATTCAGAAAAGATGAAATTAGATAAAGAATATCACAGTCCTTGGATGTAACAGAATGTCCAATGAAAGTTTAAAAGCATTTTTTAAGTGAAAGGAAAAAATTATTGGAATATTCAAGAAATTGAATATATAGCCATCACATTAGAGATTCTTAAAAATACTTTGTTTTGATGAAATACTTTGTCTTCTATTTACTTCTATTACTTCTATTTTACTTATTACATAAGTAAAATTTATGATGGAAGAATAATGTTAAGAAAATATGACCTCTCAGTTTACAGTGTTGCCCTTAAATTTGACAAATTGTAAAACTTCAGTATCTTTTAAAATACCCTTTTTCTTCTACTATTAAAAGCACCATTCTAAAAAATTAATCAACTTAATTTCTAGTTCCAACATCAGAATAAATAAAAAAAAATTTTTCTGGCTTCCTCTTGGAAAAGAGGGCGGAAATATCTGGTCTGCTGTAGTGACAGGTGAGGATACTGGCTTTAGAACCAGAAGTTTTTTATTTTTAATCCTACACAGTGGAGAGTGTGACTGAGCATCTGGATTTCCTCGTCTGTCAGGATAAACATGCCTACCTCATTTGGCTGGTTGCTCTTGGGAGATCTTGAAATCACTTATGCAGCACGCTCACACTGGCACAAAGCAAACCCTTTATCTGAGCTTATCTGCACAGAAGGCAGGAAGACCGACAATCATCAGCCATAGAACACATGTAATCCTTTTTTCTCGTGTTTCTTGCAGCTCCCAAGCAGAATCAAAATTGATATCCATGAGTGAGGACATAAAATTATTTCTGCCTCACAAAAGCAACTTGAAATAATGCCTTCCCAGAGGTCTAAATCCATTCTAGAGCTTTGAGGAGAAGTGACTCATTTATTCTTTGGATAGCTATTTGTGGAGACGCTACTTGTGTCAGCCACTGTGCTAGGCACTGAGGGGGGATATTCTAAAAATTACCCCATGGCTTTCTGCTTCTTGAGAACAAGCCTTTATCAGGTAAGGCCCTAATGAAAAACAGATTGCAAATGGAAAGAGAGAGAGAGAGAGAGAGAGAGAGAGAGAGAGAGAGAGAGAGATCAAGGGAGGTGCTGTTTACAAAAGATATGAACCAAAGCTGAAGATGACCAGGGTGTCATGAATCACCATGGAGCTAGCTAGTGGGAAACTTCTACCAGTTCTGTCTATAAAGAGCGCGCCTGAGAAGACTTCAGCTATTTCCTCTTCGCTCTTCTCATCCCCTGAGACCAGCTGCCCCCCACTGAGGCCAGAAGGCTGGCGGAGCCATGGCACAGGGAGGGATGGAGAAGGAGAAAGAGTGGGAGGTGAGGGGCACCTAGAAAGCAGTCTGTCTTTCTTGCTTTATTTCTTCTTTTCTTATAGAACAGATGTTGGAGGGTTTTTTTCTGAATATAAAAGTAATATATTTATATTACAGAACATTTGGAAAATTGTCTTGTAACTTGTAAATCCTGCTCCTTATTAGCCTTGACATGTTGTGGTTGAAGACACATGGATTTAGCCAGCAAACTCTCACTCAATGAATTATAAAATATAAAATTTATTTTCAAACTTGAGAACTCACAAAGATCTCTTATTTATCAACAACATCTGCTGATATTCCTCTGGGACATTTTGTCTCCCTGGCTGTCATTAAGTTTCCTTACTGTGATATCTTCCTGTAAGTATCACATTCTTGACACATTATAGGGTTTTTTCCTAAATTTTGATCATCATATTGTTCTACACAACCTCCACTGAACACAGCCTACCCATTATTTAAAAGCAGAAAGAAACTCTCCAGTGACCCTTCTACAAGTTCTGCTGCTAACCTTTTGCATAACTTTACTAGTTTTCCTATGTTCACATGTTTCAAAGGGCTGCAGTCACTGAATGTGTAGACATGCACATCTCACATTCAGAGCTGAGTGTACTCTTGATTGTTTTTTAAACTTAGAAGTGTAAACATTTTTTCCAGGTAAGCCCTATAGAGAAACTTGAGATTAAGTAGAACTCTGTGAAAAAATATCTGCTCCTTGCCTACTTTTTTTTGGTGGATTTCAAGAATTTATAATCATTCCTTCTTTGACATATTCCAAGGAAATTCTTTCGCCTGGCAAATTGAGTCAAGTCCCTGCAGAACCTCTGGGTTTCTCTCTCTCGCGTGTTTACAGAGGCAAAGGTGAAATTTCTCCCTCCCCCCAACTCTCTTATCTACTTTGCTGGTTTTACTGCCAGCTCCTGCATAATACAGTCCAATTATGTGTTAGAAATTCAACCTTGGTTTCCTGGGTGATGGTACAATACCACTACTTAGTATTCCTAGTCACATAGCTATGATTCCATCCCGCTCTTAATCTATATATATCTTCATGTTAGAGGAAGGCTTTTAAAATCAGTATAGATCAAGAATGTAAATGTAAGGAGTGAGCAATACATAGCAATTCTTGGCTCAGCAGCAGTATAGGACATTTTCGGTACCAAAATCTTACAACTGCCATACGGACCATCGCTTGTTTCCAGTTGAGTTCTGCAGACTCAGAATTCTTCAGAGTCTTTGGTCAGCTGTTGCGTAACAGGATGTTTGTTTGCAACTTGTTTTCACGGCTTGAGTTTTTATGCACCTAGGGCAAGTGTTCTGGACCCTGCAGACGCAGCTCGCACAGTTAAGCTTTGGTAATGTCACTGAAGGTTTCTGTTCCTTTCAGTGACCTACACAAAGCAATTGTCATGACTACTGCCTCTCTGCCTCAAGGAGCCAGATTTGTGACCCAAACCAGGAATTTCTAGCTTTTCTAGATACTGGTTGTAACATTATCTGTGACAAATACTTTGGGTGTTTACACATACAAAAAGTTTAAACTGTTGGTAAAAACAGATTAAGATTTTTCTCTCAAGAGTTTTATTTTTTTTTTTGTAATAGTCTCCTTTTCCTTCTGGACAGTATCAAGAAATTATGTTTTTAAAATTCTGAATCTGATATTGTTTAATTGTGCTACTTTGGCCAAATAATTTTTCTGGCCCTCTCTTCTCTCAGAAAAAAAATAAAATAAAAGTAATTGTACAGACAGTATGAGGACCGAATGAGCTATTTTATAGGAAACTATCTAGTAAGCTATAAGGCTTTATACAAATGTGTATTATTTTATATTTGCCATGGTCCTTGATTATTTGGGAGCTAATTTCCACCCTCTTTTTTATTTATTCTCTCCTCCTTGGTGTGTTTGTGCTAACCTCTTGGATTGTATATTTTGGGAGCCTCTTTCTCAGCATGACAAATTTAATTGCCTTGGAAAATTCTGCTGCTGCATCTGGGGCCTTATATACATTCCAAAGGCAAGTTTCCAGAAGATGCGCACTCTGTTAATGCTACACGGCTGAACCTTCACTGTGCCTGTTTCTCTTGTAGGTCTTCACAGTTACCAGCAAAATTGCCCTGAACGGCAGAGCTCCCGAGAGTGATCTCTCCCACCTTGATGATGAAGAAGAGCAGGAGTGTGATGACTGTGACCGCGGACGATGTAAGTGGCAGCACCATGTTCTCTCTGCGCTTTAGTCACTAAAGAAGTCATGCGCTGATGATTCCATGCAGAGGCACACGGGGGCGTTTGTGCCACCACTCTGTCACTAGGTCTCTAGCTGGCTGGCACCTAGACCCGAGGTGGACAGCAAGAACGAGTCCCTCTCTGCAGCTTGCCAAGGGGCTGCATTTCAGCTTTGTAGTCCTCAGTCACAAAACCACCAACCTCCAGCCCATGCTGGCTTCCCGTCAGTTACTTCCGCTTTTGCTCTGCCCTGTGACCCCTCCTTTGAAGACATCCTTGCCTGCTTTGACCCAGGGAACCCCTGGGAAGTCACTCCCATGGTAGTGTCTTCCACAATTACTTCTCAGAGGTTGGTGACATACGTTTTGGGACCTTGGCTGCCGGTGAGTTAGCTTCTCCTGGTGTTTCCGGGAAATGCAGACCCTCAGGACACAGCTCAGATGTTGGATCAGGCTGTACTTTAGCAAGCTCTGATGACTGTGGTCTGTTGAATTTGTCTGAGAAGCGCTGCTCCAAGTCACTTGAAGACATCTCTAACCTCACTGCCATCATAGCTTTAGTTTTTGGCCAGTTGGGATTATCTCCTTGCTTTCAGTTGACCTATCTCCCATTAGTATATCCTTAATTGCCTGTTCTTTACACCTGCTTTTGTAACTGAGCTAGGCATTCTATGCCACTAACTAGCTGCACCAAAGGAAATAAGGGTGAGAAGAAGGGACAGCAGGAGGAAGAGGACTCAGGGCATGTTGGCTCCAATTTCACAGGTCGAGGAGGCCTAGAAGGGACTTGGACCTGCCAAACAATAGAAAGTGCCATCCGGGAAATGCCCAGGCTTTTGGGGTTCTTTTCAACTCTTACCCTTCCTTAAATTACATGGTACTTGCGCAGATGGAGGACCCTTTGCTAGCAGCCCTTGGCTTCTCCTAGGTGTTTACCGGAAATGCGTAGTTAGTTCCAGGTGGAAGTGGATGGAAGTCAATCTTTTCCCACGGGCCCTGCTGTGGTCTAGCTGAGGAGAAGCCTGTTTTCCCAGGTCTTTGTGCTCAGTGTCCACCCCGCCCCAGCGCTCCCTGGGCTGGTGGCATGTGTACAGCGGTGGGTGCTGCTGGTGAATGCTGGCCATCTCTGCCAGAGTCCAGGTGCCAGCCTGAGCTCTCTAGTCCTTTGAAAGACGGGCTCCCAGCCTGCCCAGCCCTTGGAGCATTCATTTCCCGGTCCCGGACCTGGGCCCCAGAACCCACGCCTTCGCCCCTCACCTTTCTCTTCTTCTGTGTGGGAGAACCTAGTCAATGTGTTCTTTTCTCTTCACTTTCAATGACATTTTTCTTTTCGTTTCTCTTGTCTTTGCTCCTGAACCAAAGGTGATGCCCCTTGTTATATGCTAATTTCCCCACACCGGTGGCAAAAAGCTATGGTAGATTTCTGTGCACTGCTTAGAATCACTAGAAAGAAACTTTTGGAATTTAGAAATTCTTTTTTCCTTTTTTTAAAAAAAAGAGCCAGAGAATGTCACTTACTAGTATTTACAAACTGTCTGCATGTACCAAGGATCTCTTTTTTGGAAGATTAAAACTGAGCCGTGTTTGTAAATGACAGCCAAACCATTTTTTCCTCCATCCCATTCTATCCTATCCTATCCTATCCTATCCTATCCTATCCTATCCTATCCTATCCTTCCCTTTTTCCTTCTTTTCTTTCTTTCTTTCTTTCTTTCTTTCTTTCTTTTTCTCTCTCTCTTTCTTTCATTCCTTTCTTCCTTCCCCTCCCCTTCTCTCTCTCTTTCTCTATGTGTCTCTGTCTCACTGTGTCCTTAAGAGAAATAGTCCTGCAGCAATGGTTGCCACAGTTAAGGGAACAAGAAGTCTGCTTGCAAGAACCTCAAAAATGAAAAACCAAAACCAGCAGATAAATATTACCTGGATTTATCCTATCCAACATGATGGGCTCTAGACATGTGATTGTTAAGCACCAGTCTGTATAGAAATGTGCTATCACATTGAGTTTTAAGTGTAGATGCAAATATTTAAGAAAGAGGCTGTCTAACGATGACACTGCATTATCATTTCCGATATGTATTTTAATTATGTTTTATTTATCCCATTCTGTCTAAATCTATCATTAAAATAATAATGCCCACCTCTTGCTTTTTACTTCTGAGTGTGACGATCATGTCAGGGAATTTACAGTGACGCCCCTGGCCCTGCCTTGTCTGCGGCTGGCTTTCTGGTGGGCAGTGCCAGCCTTGATCTCAGGGCAGGGCAGGAGTCAGACCCTGTGCCCACACAGTAGGTTTTCCTCACAGCAACACCATTTAGCTGATCATGTTTTGTATTCCATACCCAGGGGGTAAGTTTTTACCCATTAGTCAGGGACATTTTATTACATTTGATTTTATTTTAAGTCGGCAAAACTTTTCACAGCAGTTTAAACAGTCATCTAACATTGATGTGTCCTCTATCATGAGTCCAGTTACAGTCCTAGGTCCTAGCGAGTCAACAAGACACAGCGTAATGTCTGTGTCTCCTTGGAATTTATAATCCAGAGGGAAAGAGAAATAAATTAGCAAATGTAAAATTATCTCAGCTATGAGAAAGGCCCCAGAAGAAAGGGAGGTTAGGCAGGGGTGGGGTGGTAAGAATGGGGAGCTCAGTGGGGAGGTGGAGGAGATGGGAGATGTGCAGAGACAGCGTCGCAGTAAGGGGTGAGCTCCAGGGAGGTCAGGGAAGAACCTTCTGGCAGTGGGAGGGGAGGACACCAGGGCCTTTCTGCCTGTGGGCCAGACGCTTGGTCTGTGGGAATAGGGAAGTGAATGAAGCCTGGGTGCTGTCCAGCGTGCGTGTGGTGCACAGATCCCTCCAGGGGAGGCTGGGTGTGATGGATGTCACAAGAGCAGTAGGTGTTCCGTGCTTTGCCTTTGAGCTAAATTCTAGAAGAGGCAAATTAAATGCAATCCAAGTACCAAACACAATTAATGATGACTAATGGGATTATTTACAGGGTAGGGAGCCGGGGTTTGGGGAGGAGTTGAGAAGGAAAAGTGACGGAAAGCTCTAGAGGAGAAGAACCAGTACCTGGCAAAGAGGGAGAGTGAGTATCTATAATTGCACAAGTAGTGTGTATGGCACTCTTTGGGGGTACGCTCGTACCTGTACTCTATGTGTAATATGTACGTGTGTGTGTGTGTGTGTGTGTGTGTGTGTGTGTGGTATTTCAGCCAGAGGACAGATATCCACATCTGTGCCCTAGCTGTCATTTTGCCTTTCTAATCATGGACACTAGGAGATGGTTCTAAAGAAGGGAAAGTGGCCAGTGACAGTGACAGGAATTACTCCCAGGCCACTGACTCTTGCAGTTGGTGATGGCTGTCTGGATAAACTGCATTTTTCCAAGGGAAAATCACTTTTATTTTCATTTCATGGACATAATGACAGTGAGCCTTGAAGGGGACCTGAGGGCCCATTGGTGGCACCTGTGATTTCCATCTCTGGCAGTGGCTCACCCTGGAAAGGACCCTGAGAGCTTGTTATGGATTAAGAACTGGTGGTCAGCTTAACTGGATTACATCAGCATAGTGCAGAGGGTAGATGCTCCACTTGAGGAGAGTTGCTAGCATAAATAGAGATGTGGAGAAGGAGAAGGTAGGGATTGAGGTGCATTGAGGTATGGAAGCATTGGGGGTTCTCCTACGTGTTGCTGTTTGAGCTGTTGGTTCTCCTGGAGGAGCTCTGGTCCTCACATTGAGCATTGCTTCCTGGCTCCGGAGGGGAAGACGTGTGCTGCTTGGTCTCCAGGATGAAGTCATCACGCTAGCTTCCTGGCATTTACTCAACTGTGCTTGTCGGAGGAGGAACTTGGGGCCTCCATATTGCTGAGGATGGCCATGGTGCTTTTCAGGACTCGGTTGTGAGTGTGACTTCTCAGCTCCAGCATAGAACCCTCAACATGTCAGCACAGCTCCTTCACCCCACTGGCATGGACTTTCTAGCTTCCACCACTGACCTTTGGGCCTTCCCAGCATGGATCCATAAAAGAGACTGGCGTGAGTCCTTCTTGTGGGCTCTAGACCTCCAGTTGGACTTGTGGGAGGCATTGTCATGAGCTCTGGGTCTTCATCTGGACTCATGTGGGACATTGCTGTGGGATTCAGGCCCTTGGCTAAATATTCTATGTCTTTGGTGTTGTGGACAGATTTCCTGCATTTTCTTGTGTTAACCCTGGGTGACCATCATAAAAATAATACTATAAACTCCATTTCCTGATTCTAATTGTTCTCCGCACAACCCCTGACTACAACAGAGTTCTACGTGTCCTTTGGATAATGTTTTGTGCCATTTTCTAGTCGTGAGTTTAGCTGGAAGAATTAAATTAGCAGCACTCCAAAAATGACCAAAATAAACAAAAGACGCACAGGTAACCACAGCAATGAATCCTTTGCTACTTATGCCTGAACTCCTGGACATGCCAGAGGTCCTCACTTGGCTTTGATATGAGGATGGGACAGGGACCTGTCTCTGGGTGTCCTCCTGTCCTGTTTCTCAAGCTTCTCCTACTCAGGTGAAGGATTTCACACCAGCTTTTCCTTTGTGATAACTCTTTGGAAGCAAAACTAATGATTTGTAAACAAGTATAGGAAGTTACAGCTCAGCTGTGTTGTGGAGGGTTACGCAGTCATCAGTTACATCTTGCCACGTAGGATGCATTTAAAAGGTCCTGGTCTCCAGAGGCAGCATTCAGGTCAATGTCCATTCCCCAAATTCCCTGGTGAACATGGCCGGATCACAGTGGCAAAAAAGCGAAATAAGGCCACGACCACGATTTCAACCTCAGAAATGACTGCATTCCATTTAGCTTTTGAGGCTGTTAGTAATTTGGAGGGAGTATAATATAAATTACAGGTATGAATTATAGAATTTGAGTAATTATGAGTAACTCTGCAGGAGTTAATGAGTTTTTTTAAGTGATATCAGTGTTTCCAGTATTTAATTTAGTTTCTGAAAAGCTACTCTGTTAAGCTTCTCTTTTGTGGCAATGCATTTTGTATTAAGGAAATTCTTCTCATTCAGAGAATGACTTTAAAACTGTACATTCAAGTTTCTTGGAAAGTTAATGTGGAGACGTTATTTTGTGACAGGTGTGGCTTAGTTGTTTTCAAATAACAAATGGAAAATAAGGACCCGTTTAGCTTATTTACTGCAGCAGAATGTGGTTGGCAATATTTTCTTTTCCTAGAAGGGAAAAATGTCCAGTAACTGTGTTCACAGGCCTAGTGCCCAGTGGTTTGGCTAAAGGATGTCTTTGTTTCTGTTCTTCTGGTGATGTTTCTCTCATGAGAGGTACACAGCATGTTCGAGACAGATTTCCAGATAACTGCAATGTTTTTTACCTGCGTGTTTGGAACTAGACTGATAATTTACAGTTATAATTTCTGGTTTTCAGTTTGTTTGTAAATAGCATTAGGAAGATTTTTTATTTTTTGCTTTTCAGTTAGTCTGTAAATCTTTTAAGAAAGAATCATATATTCTAAGCTTTCTCTTTAGACTCTAATTTCTAACACAGACACACACCCAACACATGCGCACACCCATGCTAGGAGGGGGACACAGTGATTTACTGTAATGATGTTACTAAGCAGTAAACATAATATATTCCAGGATATCTCAGTCCTTAGAAAATTCTAGTCTTCTTTCTATTACTGAATTGTGGCTCTACTGAAGTTCAAATATGTAAGCTGTATTTCAAAACTGTAAGTCAGGCATAAGGAAATGTGATGAAAACCCATTTCCAGGTAGGGAAAGTGGACTCCTGAAAATTTCTGGGCTTGTCTTGTCCAGATTCATGTCATCAGAAATGGCCTCGTGTGGATCAGATATGTGTAAACTGTCAGAACGTGTTTCTCTCAGGAAAGACGCCAAGCTTTTCTTTCCTGTTGAATTATTCTTATGTGAACTAGCACAGTAGTGGTTGTGTCGGGGGAGGAAGACAGAGAACTCGTGTTAGTTTATACTTTAGGAGGTCAGGTCTCAGGGGCTTTTGTGTCCCTTTTCTGGGTACCTCTGCTGCTAGGGCCACAGGATGAGTTTCAGGTGAGCAGCCTTGGCCTGATGGTGAGAGTCCTGCTGTCTCTGCTGGGTATGGAGAGAAGGAATGACCGCTTTTCACATGCAAGCTGCTCTCCACGGCCTCTGCATGTTTAGCCTTTGAGCAGATACACACGGTGCCCAAGACAGAGGTTCCTTTGGGAACCTCACTGCCAACAGTACCAGGACCCGTGCTCACTGAGGGGTGTGGCAAGGGTAAATAACCTTGTCATGGGTCACAGGACAGCGCTTTTATCCCTCCACAAGGGTCTCCTTCAAGTCAGCATCAGGGCATGCACTCGAATGTGTCCACTTTGGATAGACTGTGTCTATTCTTTTTATGAGCTCTTACATAATTTAACAAAAACAACACAAAATCTCCAACCGTGAGAAGACTTTTTTTCTAGATAGGGGTAAGAACCACCAGTTGCCCACAATTACCAACACCCTGCTGCTTTAATACAGAAAATATTTTTACTTTAAAGCACTGAATAAGGAATTTCATCCTTGATTATAGTTTGTTTTCCTGTTGCAGAATAACGTTGATTTCCAGGCTATATGGGGAATTAGGCAGTCTTTATTGTAGCAAATTTTTTAAGAAGGCAGACAGAAATATGGAAAGAAAGAAGCAGCCCTCCATTCCCTGTGTTGCTCTGGTAAACATTATCCAGGGGTCCCGAGATCTCCAGGGATACACAACTGACAGGCTTGTTTAGAAGTTGAGTCCGGCACCCCAGCCAACCCAAGCTGTGTGTCTCAGTGTTAGACTCCAGTTGTGAGAAAATTAATCAGAGACTCACAAGTGACAGCTTTGAGCATTTAGTTTTTCATTGCAGTGTAACATTTTAAAACCTGAATTTCGTTCTCTTTTCTCCTTTCCTCTTTTCCTGCGATTCCTCCAGAACGTTAAAGATTATTTTGAGTGCAGCCTGAGTAAGTCCTACAGTTCTTCCAGTAACACTCTGGGGATCGACCTCTGGCGAGGGAGAAGGTGCTGCTCCGGAAACTTGCAGTTACCGCCACTGTCTCAACGCCAGAGTGACAGGGCCAGGACGCCTGAGGCGGACAGCATCTGCAGACCCACCACGCTCCCCCTGACCACGCTGCCCAGCATCGCGATCACAGCTGTGAGCCAGGAGGGGTGAGTAGCCCCACGTCGCGTGCCAGTTATTCCAAAGGCGAGTTCGTGGTATTCAAATGTTAGCTATTTGTGGAAGAACTGAGACGGCTGACATTTGGAGAATATGTCTTGCTCTGAGTAGCAACATTAAGGTCTTTTACAGTGACAATATCTTCTACTTCTTAAGATGGAGAAGCATGTTCCAGGGAGCCCACTGTGGGGAAAACAAGACACATTTACGTTCTGTCAAAGAAGAGCAAGGTTCTTGCCTATGATTGTTTTCTTTTTCCCAAAAATACTCTTCAGTGTGGATTATTTTTTAATTTACAGGAGTAAAATTATTTCAGTCTACTAAACTTTGAGTGTATCCCTAGTTTATTTCTATTATAATCCTACTTTACTAATCTCATTTTTGATTATCTATAAAACACTTCATTATAAATTAAAAGAGCAAGGAAAATTGTGATGAGAGACATCTAGACTCTTTTGGTTTCTATTTGTGTAGAAGGCTATATTAAACTACTGTCAGAGTTAAGGACATGAGTTCTTAGAACTGTGCTTTAACAGTGCAGTGACCTTACTTCAGATGTGTGTGTTTTAGCCTGCACTTAACTACAGAATTTTCTTCCTATTTCTTTTCTCTCTGCATAATGTTCAAATATTTTCTAATAATAGCTTATATATACAGCCTGGGATTTTATCACTATCAGGTAAAATATTTTCTTGAGGTAAACCTTTCATTTTAAATCATAGAATTTTAAATCATGATAATGTGGTACTTTTAAAATCATTTTTTGTTTCAATCATTTATTAAGAGGAAGGGCTAAACCCAGTAATGCACAGCATCTCTGCAGTCAGTCACTGTTACCGATGAGCTTTTTCAGATGGTATGCGTTTGCTGGTGTCCTGCCACAAGCTGAGTCTGGGTGAATGCTGGAGCCGTATTAGTTGCTGAGTTCCTTGAATAAAACCCTTGGTAAAATGTACCATATGGAATTTCAGTTCACTGAGCTCAGAGGTATCCTAGGAGTCACAGAACTGTGCCTTCCTTACACGTGCCTAGGCGCTGATACCTGAGGCTTGCTGGGCTGCCTCTCCTGTGCCGAATGGGTTTAGTCGTACATAGATGGGGACAGTACTTCCTTCACAAGCTCTTGAGAGGGTCCAGTGAGTTTCAGTTTAAAAGGTACTGAACTTAGTGGACAGTGTGTTAGGTAATCAGCAAGTTCTGCCTCTTGATCACTGTCCAGTAACTGCGTCTCTCAGCAAGCAAATGTAGGGTGAAATAGAGGAATTTGCTATTATCCAGAGACTCTGTGTTATGCAGTCAGCTAACAGCATGTTAGGACTTCATTCAGAATATGTCTGCTTTATTCTGATTAAACATAAACTTTTTAAGGTGTAACAGTATTTGGTCATTAGCTATAAAATTGACTTTTAAATATAAACGACTAAAAGATTTCTCTGCACGGTTGACAAAAGCTTTCCCTGGAATGTTGATCGTTGAGGACTAATAAAATGGCTGGCCAAGGGGTCCAGTTCAAGGGAGTTAAGCAGGGCTCCAGCCTGTGTTATAGCCTTAGATTTGGTAGTGTCTACAGGGAAGCAAGGTGGCTGGGATTGTGTGCCAGGAAGGATTGCACCCATCTCCGAGAGCTCCATCAGGATGGAATCATCATCTCTGTGTCTGCCGGCAGCCAGCGGAGGCCTGTAAAGTTCTCGAAAGCAAATAGTTCCCACTTTATGTGCTTTTAAGTCTGCGGTAGCCACTCGAAGCTGCCATTGAATTGAGAAAGTTGTCACAGACAGTGTGGGGATGAGCGGCTGTGTCCCAGTAAACCCTCATTTACAAAAGCAGGGAGAGAGCTGGGTTTGGCGGAGCTTGTTCACCGTGTGTGTTCACCTGTGTGCCAGCGTAGTAAGGATCTGAGGGACGCAACTCCTGACTTGGTAACTGCTTTGACATTGACCAAGCACAGAAACTGACCTTACTCCCTGGCTGCTGTGCCAACTTCCACATGAGTATGTGGCTAAGGTGCCCTGGACGCACCAATGAAGTTAGTGATGGTGCTTGACTGAGTACCAATGAACGGGGCTTCCCAGTGGTGTCTGAAGTTAAATATGAAAACATTACTGTAAATGTAATCCCTTTGGTGATGAGGGGAGGTGGCCAGCATTGCAGACTGAGGCCTGGAGTATAAGGATAGTGGTTTATGTATCACACAGCAAGAACTAGAGAAGACCGAAGTCTGATTTCACTGACTTCCATCTTGTAGCCTTGTTTCTTCATCCCCCAAAGACACAACTGAGTCAACAGTGGAGGTGATAATTCCTGCTTCTTGGAGTTTTAGTGGAAAGAAAGGAAGTGTTTGTAGTGCTTGGGGTACAGTAACTAGCAATCAGTGGCTGTTGTGTCCTTGTGGTTGCTGTTACCGTTTTTATTTTTGTGTATAGCTGGAGGAGAGAGAATTACATATTTTCCACTGGGGGAGCTTCTTGGGAAACCTCAGTCTGTGTTCTGGAACCAAATGGAAATGTGTTGAAAAAGAAAGTCAGATACAAGATAAGACGCTGATACTGGAATATGTGATAGGTTTGTGGAAAAGTAGCTTCCAAGGCTAAACACCATAGCCACACAGGCTTCGCATTCAGTTATAGGAGGTTCTGGACCTGGGCAGGCTCCCCTCCCCCCTCTTTGTAGGGTGCCCCAATACAGTATGAAGCATGTCAGATTGGTAAATACCCTATTCTTATGAGAAAGAGCTGTGCATGGCTAGTTTCTCCTTCTGGAAACACCCACAAAATTAAATTACTCCTTGTACCCTGGAGGAGAAAAATGAGGAAAGAGGAAGAAAAAGTCCAGAAACATTGTGCTGGTGGAATTCCTGACACTGGGGCGGAACATCAAAGAGAGGCAGAAATGTCCCCCCATGTTTTGTTAATCTTGTCACTTTTGCCTAGAGTCTGCCAGGGCCACAGCAGTTCTTCAGAAGGGGACATGAAGAACACTCCAGGACACTGTAGCTACAGTCTTTGTGACGTTGTTCTCACATTATCAACCTGCTGAGTATGCAAAGGAAATCTGAAATCCAAGTTTCTTGCCCTTCCTTGTCACTAAAGTCAAAGAATTGAAGCCTCAGATTTATCCTCCTTATCTCCTAATTCTCTCGTTTTGTTAGTGGGTTGTCAGAGTTTGCCTTGGTGAGAGGGTTTTCTGCCTAGCTGTAGCCTGAACCATGGTTCAAAGAAAAGGCTGTAGCTCCTTCAGTTACACAGAAACAACCGTACTGCAATGTCAGGCGTCTGCCTTGTTTCACTATCTAAATTTTTAAAAAAATTTTATTTTAGAGAGAATAAAACCAAGCCAAACAAACATGATTAAGCCGATCAGAGCAATGCAAGCAATATAGGACTTCAAACAAGACAACAGGAAATTAACTATGGCTACCATAATGTCTCTCGTTTTCTCTAAAATTGCTGTCCCTACCTTCACACATAATAAGATCAAACAAAACAGAATAAAACCAGCCAAAACAAAAGAATGAAAGCATTATAGGACTTCAAAGCAAGGCAATAGGAAATCAATAGTGGTTACCATAATAATCCTGTTATCTTCAAAATACTTTTTTAAATAATGAAAGAAATTTATTGGCCTATCACAATGATCAAAGCAGTATCCCATAACCAAATTTAAAAAAATAAGCCGATTCTGAATCTTAGAAGTCTATAGTTAATCTAGAACTTAAATCTTTCTCCATGAAGAGCTTACACTTTGACTCTGTCTAGTACTTTTGTTTTTACAATACTTTTTTATGTACTTTAATTTTTTAATGTATTTTACCCCACAAAATATTAACTTGATTTTTGCTTTCAATCTTTGATTTGGATTTTTGAAGGTATTTTCCAGTATCATTGTTTTCAATTGCTTCTCTATTTTCTCTGAAAGGCGAAGTACCTGTAATACCCAATGTGATAAAAAGAAAGAAGAGGAGGAGAAAAAGAAGGATAAAAAAGTGTAGGGAAGGGGAAAGAAACAACAGTAAAAGCTGGAGAACTGACATTCTTGATTTAAGTCTTACTATGAAGCTATGGTAATCCAGAGCCAGTTGCATTGGAAAAGATGGAACAAACAGATCAATGCACTAAAATAGTCTCCAAGTGTCCTCACAAAATACAATCAGTTAACCTTTGAAAAAACAAAGCTCATAAATGGCACTACCTACATGCAGAGAGTAAAACTGGACCCAAATCTTATATCTCTCACAAAAATTAAGGCAAAGGGATCATATTCCTAAATGTAGAGCACACAAGTATAGAACTCCTAGAGAATAGCCTAGGAGAAAATCTAGGCTACTTTCACTTTTGCATTGAGCTTTTAGATATAACACGTGAGTAGATCTATTACTGTAAAAATGATGAATTAGGCTTCATTAAAATTCAGAACTTAGTTTCTGTGAAAGACAGTGTTTCAAGAATGAAAATCCCAGAGCTGGAGAAAATGGTTTTCAAGAACCTGTCTGATAATGGTCTTATACCCATGAATATTCATGAAACATTAAAATTAAAACAATGAGAAAACAATCTAATTAGGGAGTGGCAAAGAGAATATGCAGACAGGAAATAAGCATTTGAAAAGCTGTTCAGCATCATTTGCTATTGAAAGTAATAAATTAAAGTGATGATAGACACCCCTCCACACTTGTTAGAATAGCTAATCCTCAGAACTGATATTACCAGTTGCTGGTGAGAATACAGACCTACAACAACTAAAAGCTGTCATTCACTGCTGATGGGAATACAAAATGGTACTGCCACTGTGGAAGATACTTGGGTAGTTTCTCACAATACTTGGGTAGTTTCTCACAAAGCTACCCATAGCATGACCATAATTTCTAGCAATTATGTTAAGTATTTACCCAGCTGATATGGATAAATTCCCATATATTTTATATGGGTATTTGTGTCTGTACTGAGACCTGCACACAAATGTTTATAATAGCTTTATTTGAAAAGAAATCTAC